ACCGAGAACGGGGATGGAAATTACAGAAGGGAAGGCAGAGTGAGGGAGAGGGCCTGTGGGCACTGGGCTGAAGGTGCCAGTGAGCCTAGCCGTCTCTACAGGACCGAGAACAGGGATGGAAATTAAAAAAGGGCCTGGCCATCTAGCTAGAATGGAACTGTTGGCAGAAGCAGTTTGAAAGAACTTAAGCTAATATACAATCCTAAACATGAATCTGAAAGGGAATTAAGTCCTAAACTTTTTGTCATGAAGTATGACATCACTGTAGTCCTTGAAGCTTCTGCTTGCGTTCACTTACACAGCCTTGCTCCTCCACTGTGGTGATCAATCATTTGACAGATGAGCAATGTCTAAGGCAGGAATGTTCTCATTAGAAAGTGGGCATGGATTTTTTGCCTTAACTTTGGCTGCAGGAACACTGTGCCACAAGCATACACATTGTGCAGACGTTAGTGATCCACAGATGCTTTATTGACCATTTCTTAGGCATATTTTCTGTGGGCATTTGTGTTTTGTAATTACTTAGTTAGAGGTTGCTGTGAACTGTGTGATGCCACGGCACTCTACCGAGGGTGATAAAATGAGACTCTGTCTCTACAAAAAGAGGCAGAGGGATCACTGCCTTTCTTCAGACATGATGAATAGGTTGTTTCTTGAACTGTTAATTTCAGATGATTATCTTAATCTGCTAGAAACTATAAATGTCAGTAAATCCTACTTGCCACCTAAGAACTAGTAAGGAATAGATAAAGAATGATGGGGAGCGGGCAGTGCCTGTGGCTCAAGGAGTAGGGTGCTGGCCCCATATGCCATAGGTGGTGGGTTCAAACCCAGCCCTGGCCAAAAAAAAAAAAAAGAATGATGGGGAAAATCACATTTGAAATCAGATTCTCTAGAATTAACATTAAAATAGGTGAAATTTTGCTAGCAGCTTATTGTGAACAATGGATACATAATCATAAAATATTTGGTATTTTGTAGAACTTATAAAAGATCAGATTCCTATCATTTTTCTTCAAATGTATGTATCTCTATCACTGAGATACAGTATTTTCATTGTTCAAATATAAAATTTCAAGTTGAATTTACTTGGAGTTTATTTGATACTATTCTGTAGAATCCGATTTCACATTTGAGATCTTTAGTATAGCAACATCACCACTAAAGGCCAAGGAAGTCAGTGAAACAAGCCCTCTGAAAACCATAATTGCTCTTGAAAGGACATAGAGCTATGTTGAAGCCTGAGAAGATTTTTGAAGTCTTTAAGAAGATGAAATTTGACAAATAAAAACATTTAGTCATATACATCTGTTTTCCTCTTGGTTTATAGCATATTGAAAACAGAAGCTAAAACCTTGAGAAGCTAAAACCTTGAGAAGCTGTAGGACATTGAATAAAAGCCTCTCAAGTTATAGTGTACACAAATAGAAATGTAACTTTCTGTACCCACCTTCAGAAAATGTGATTCACCAGGGCTCGAGTAAGACCTCCAAATTGCAATTATCTGTGAGTCTCAGGAAATTCTCTTGTAGATGATCTCTGCACTACATTTTGAAAAACATTGGCATAGGTACAGTAAAACTAATTAAAAAACAAACTGTAGCCAGGCACTGTGGTGGGCACCTGTAGTCCCAGCTACTTGGGAGGCTGAGGCAAGAGAATCGCATAAGC